TAAGGCTCCTACAGCTACTACAGGTACTACAGGTACTACACCTACTACAGACACTACAGCTACTACAGTTACTACACCTACTACAGCTACTACAGTTACTACACCTACTACAGCTACTACAGCTACTACAGGTACTACACCTACTACAGGTACTACAGGTACTACAGCTACTACGGCTACTACAGCTACTACAGCTACTACAGGTACTACGGCTACTACACCTACTACAGGTACTACAGCTACTACAGGTACTACAGGTACTACAGCTACTACAGCTACTACAGGTACTACGGCTACTACAGCTACTACAGCTACTACAGGTACTACACCTACTACAGGTACTACAGGTACTACAGGTACTACAGGTACTACAGCTACTACAGCTACTACGGCTACTACACCTACTACAGGTACTACAGCTACTACAGCTACTACAGCTACTACAGGTACTACAGCTACTACAGCTACTACGGCTACTACAGGTACTACAGCTACTACACCTACTACAGCTACTACAGGTACTACAGGTACTACAAGTACTACAGCTACTATCGCTACTACGGCTACTACAGGTACTACAGCTACCACAGGTACTACAGCTACTACAGCTACTACAGGTACTACAGCTACTACAGCTACTACAGCTACTACAGCTACTACGGCTACTACAGCTACTACAGCTGCTACAGCTACTACAGCTACTACAGCTACCACACCTACTACAGGTACTACAGCTACTACAGCTACTACAGCTACTACAGCTACTACAGGTACTACAGCTACTACAGCTACTACAGCTACTACGGCTACTACAGGTACTACAGGTACTACAGGTACTACACCTACTACAGGTACTACGGGTACTACAGCTACTACAGCTACTACGGCTACTACAGCTACTACAGGTACTACGGCTACTACAGCTACTACAGGTACTACAGGTACTACACCTACTACAGGTACTACAGCTACTACAGCTACTACGGCTACTACAGCTACTACAGCTACTACAGGTACTACAGCTACTACGGCTACTACACCTACTACAGGTACTACAGCTACTACAGCTACTACAGGTACTACAGCTACTACAGCTACTACAGCTACTACAGCTACTACAGGTACTACAGGTACTACGGCTACTACAGGTACTACAGGTACTACAGCTACTACAGCTACTACACCTACTACAGGTACTACAGGTACTACAGCTACTACAGCTACTACAGCTACTACGGTTACTACAGCTACTACAGGTGCTACTACAGCTACTACAGCTACTACAGGTACTACAGCTACTACAGCCACTACAGGTATCATTGTGTCTACTAGGGTACAGCCACTACAGCACTGACAGCGGTGGGCGGTGGCCCGGGACATTTTGGGCAGTCTTACACCAAGTACTACCCCTTGGGGCTTCTTCGGGGTCCTTCGGGATCAGTGGAGGGTGACGCGATTGTAAGTGTTGAAAGTTGGAAGGGGTAAGAGCAGTGTAAGAGAATGATCTGTACGTTTAAAGAACAGATGCAGGGTTCGCACAGTCTTGAAAAGTCCCTAAATTTCTGTGTTAGTCATTGAAAAGTCCTTGAATTTTCTTTAACTTTGAATGTAGTAAGTGGCCTGGAAAATATGGGTTTACCTCGGTGTAAAAACCTGTGGAGTGTTTCTTTGTTTTCTGGCTATCATTTTCCTTGGTTGTATTGACTTCTCAGTGGCTTTTTTGTATTCACTGTTTTACGTCACTCGTGAGTTTCACAGGTTTTTACACCTAGTATGAGCCGAAAATATTTTTTATACGCTGTTTGGTTATCCAAGACGGAATACGAATCATAGCTCAGAGAAGTTAAAGGTGATTTGCATAAAGCGTTCTGTGTTTTATGCAATAATTAACTATCAATTTAGGAACTGAAAAATGTAGAGAAAGTGGTGGAGGACTGGGAATGTACACCTTTGTACAATCTGTATTACATTCCCGGTAGCCGAAAAGCTATAAAGAAACAACCATTAATTAACAAATCACGTGAATAGTAATCAGGGGCACCCAACGAGGATATAGTTCAAAACCACTTAACATAGCATTGTTGAACGTATTTTAGTATTCAAACGGTAGATATAGCCATATTTTTATCCCCTAAAAACTTTTCATCTGTTCGGATTTCCTAGCTGAAAGTCTATTGATCCGAAAATTATAGGGATAAAAACTTACCTTCTCGAAAATTTCAGCCAGGAAAAGGCTCCCGAAAATTCTAGGTGGCCTTTTTTAAGGTCAAAATCCCTTAAAAATGGGTAATTATACCATTTTGTGGATGTTCGAAAATCCTAGGAGCGGCAGGCAAGCAACAAATTTTACAACAAATGCTCAGAAAATTCTAGATCTCAAATCGTCTTCTGAACAGATATTTTCCCGAAAATTGCCGTTGGGTGCCCCTGAGTAATCTTACATCTTTGCTATCATATACTCACAGTCCTTGAAAATCAAATGTGGACAATGGATCCTTGAAAAGTCCTTAACAAGTGGTTGCAATTTTTTGTATGAACCCTTTTATGGAAACAAGGTTCAGCTGAATTTTGTTTTCTTTCTGCTTTGTGGGCAAGGGCTAGTGTACCTGTATGTTGGCATATACTTCATGTGAGAATGCTATTTATTATATAAACACCAATGAAATACCAGGTGAGCTTTCACGCGAAAACTTGATATCTTCACATGTGAAAATATTACCGTTGCTATGACTACGTAATAAATCGCGCCTTTGACACCAAAAAACTGTTCAAGTGAAATGGTTTGGTGGTTCATTGGTGTTTAAATAGAACATTACGTGGCTGCTTGGAGATACGAAATTTCTCTTCTCATGTTGAAAAAATATTTCACTCGTTCGCTGCACTCAGTCGTGAAATATTTTTCAACATGTGAAGAGAAATTTTGTATCTCCTCGCGGCCATGTAATATCCTCTATATATGCATCCACTATATAGGGGACGCTGTTACTTTCGGAATATGCTACGAGTGATATTAAATAAAAGATAAAAAGATTTCCACATTTTTATCTCTCAGTAGGTAGCTGACAAACCTGTTGAAAGAATGAAAAAGAAGGATGCAAGAAAGGAGAAGAATGATGCCTAAATTCACAACTGTTACCCTAGCTTGTCTGCATGCAGGTGAGGTTACTCTTGGCCAATGTCAAATTTATCCACCTCTGGTGGGGGTAGCTTTCAACAATCAAGGTGATTGTTTTCAGAGCCAAATCCTCTCCTCTTTCCTACTCCTTCCTCATCCTCGGGATGAATGTAGATGTAAATAATGTTATTTAATGACTCTGTGGTTGTGGTTCAATTTTATGGTATCCTTTGAATCCTTTTTTTAAACTTTATTTTCCTTTGGTTTTGGTTATGGTTATGTTTGTTGTGTATGATAATGAGTTGCAAATAATGGAAACTTAAATTTAAACCAAGGATCAATAAAATTAAACCACGTCGCCATATTGATGCAATTGGCATAATTGGACGTAAAGCTTGTTTTCACTTGGAGGGGGCATAAGAGGGGAGGGGGGTTGGGTGTCTGAACACCAAAATACCACACAGAAAAGAGCGAAAAAACTGCAATACTGCATTGAGATTTACAATTATTACATTAATTTGTTGTCATTAAGATTACTGATCCCGTTTTAACATCTGAAAGCAGATTAACATAACACTGTTTTTCATCGATAACGGTGACATAAAATTTAAAAAAAAAACACATCCCACATAGCATTTGAAAACTACATGATCTGCAAAATTATAATAAATGTCACAGAACAAACTGCACCAAAAATAACGAAAACTCTATCACTGCAAACCTTTACATACCTGCCCCCTTCTACGAGTGAAGCCAGTATAGCACTGGACACGCAAAAATTATGTTACAAATAGACAAAATTGACAAAATTCACAGAGTGTAACACCAATCACTTCAGCTTTTGTGGTAGAAGGAAAGCTAAACCATAGGCAAAAGCAAGGTCTTGGATGTCAAATAAATTCTTAAAAGTTAGTCATCTATAGGACAAAATTCTTTGTTATAATACTTGGCCGAATGATGTTGTAAAAGGAATTTCAAAAAAAGAAGGGAAGTTTGCTAATTTTTGTGCTAAGCTTTGCTGTGTTGAGTCATGCAAGTCTTGGGTCAGTTAATTTTCTGTTGAAAAACAGCAAGAAAAAGAAGTCTTAGAGGGAAGCTTTGATTTGAAATGATTGTATTTTTCTAAGTATAGTTATTTACGTCTGAAGAAAATGAATAATGCTAGATAAGTTAAAAAAATGTATTTTTGGAGTTCATAAAAGTCTGTAAACAGTATAGTGAAATCATGATGAAACCGACAGAAAATTCATTTTCTACATAGGTCGTTTTATTTGTTTACGAATTTTTATAAAGTATTCTATAATTATGCATTAATTTCGTTTGTTTCTGCAGCTGCTGGCTTAAAATTTCCAAACAAAAATTAAACTCTTCAGTCTCAAACAATGAACAGCATTTTATGGCAACTTCCATACGGGAAATAGTCCAGTAAAGAATAGACGTCCCATTATCACAGCCACGGGGTCGGAATTGAGAATTGTTTCAGTTTAAACCCTGTTATGTGTGACGCATGAGTTGCCACGATTCAGGAAAAACTTTCATTGTTGTGTTACTCTTCAATTTGATTGGTCGAAATAATGCGTGCGCTTTACCATCGCGGAATCTGATTGGCCAGCGCTCCAGACGCAGTTTGTTTGAATGAGTTTCCAAACTGTCGAGCCTCTTCGAACTGATCATTCCTTCCACGCGAACACTCCACTGGCTTTGTAAATTTCTTCCAGATATTTGGCTAAAATTTTCACAGTTTCCAAGAGATTTCTCCGTTTTGATTTCTAGCTACTTTCTTTGTACGTAGACAGCGGAATCGGTAAAATATACTCTTTCATATCCAAGCGGATTTATATGTGCGTTGATCGTACAAGTGCCATCTCAGAGCTACAATAGAAAGATGTATGCCGGTAGACCAGCGACGAAGGATAAATACACCGCAAGGCATAAGACAGAAAGACCTTCATCAGACTATGCGAAAATTCCACGGGAGCTGGATCAGTATATAGTGGATCCCACGACAAAAAAGCGCTATCTTCGAGGCCGCTTTCTCGGCAAGGTACCCTGGCGTACGCTCCAACATATCTGAACATATGCATAACCGCCATTTAAATTTAAATCCTGCAGAACACGAGCAAACGAATCTTTGATCGATAGTTCATATGCTATAACTGCTGTTCTCATCATTCGTTCTTTTTCTTCAGGGTGGATTTGCAAAATGCTACGAACTTACGGATATGGAAACGAAAGAGATTTTCGCTGGCAAGATTATCTCGAAAACTATGTTAACGAAGCCACATCAAAAAGAAAAGGTGAGAATGAAACAACGCTAACCGAAAATTCTTTGGAAATTCATTTTGATCCTTAATTTTTCCCAATTTTTCTTCGGATGTTTGTAGATGTCTATGGAAATTGCCATCCATCGTTCCGTGGGGCAGAAAAGAGCTGTTCACTCAGAAACGCACAAACAGATTGTCGGGTTTCATGGTTTCTTCGAGGACTCGGATTACATTTACATCCTTCTTGAGCTCTGTAGACGAAGGGTAAGTGGCGAAAACAGGAGAAATCCACTTTTTAAAATATTTTGTTTCATTTTAAGGTCTCTCTCTCTTTACTGAATCTTTTTCGATCTTCTGATACTGTTTTTGAACAACCTTTATTCTGGATTTCAAGTACACTTTTTGTTTTGTTTTTACTTTTCGGCGTTTTTTGCTTCAGTTTTTTTGAAAAATTAATTCTAGTTGAGCAAAATTGAGAAAATTATAAATTTAAAAAAGGAAGTGAAATAAAAATGTTGCTTACTTGTTTTAGATCCTAGCGAAAGGTTTCTCCATTTTTCGATTTTAGTCGTTGGTTTAGAGTTCAAGTTGTTAATTTTAAAAACTCAAACACGTAGATTAGAGGTTCTGTTTGCATCCTTTGTTCTTGATTAAACTTTCTTTTTTATAGTTTGTTTAATATATTAGACATTTTCTGGTCCCCATTTTTTGCTTTTGCCTCAATTTTGATCACCCACTAACTGGGAAGATAAAGTACTGCTCATGCAGTTTATTTTTTAAGAACCCTTGTTTTTTTGGACACCTGTTGATGCTCTATTGAATCTGAAAAATAAATATTGCATGAAAACTGCATGACAAAGGAAATACGATCATAATGATTTCAAACAGAATGATATTTTACTCTCTAGATTTTTGTGATGATAAAGACCAAAATATTTGGTTCGTTGTAGTCTAGTTCACATCCTTCAGTTCAATGTATCTGCAAGATTTGTTTCAAGAACCGTTTTTGGGGACAACCTGTTGATAGCAATTATGATTTTAATTTATGCAGGGAAAGCTCAGTTGATCTCAAATTTACATTTTCATCAGGCATGTTCAATAAACATGAGATTTGTTTGATGAATCACCAAATGCATTATTAAACTGTTGTTGTATTTCTTCCTTCCTGGTATCTTTATTTTAAAAATGTATTTTTCTTACGTTTTTAGTTTTCCTTTTAGAAATTTACTATGTTAAGAAAGTGTTATTTGTTTTGTCACACATTGCAGCAGGCTTTTTCAGATGTTATTTAACATGTTACCTTTTAAGTTAGTGTAATCCTGGAACAAGACTTGAAAAATTTCTTTAATCTAATCAAGAAACCAGTTAATGGAAACATGGATAATAGAAAGACTTTCTATTATCCATGATGGAAATAAGGAAAGATGATATATTTTAATTTTGGCTTCCCCGGCACATTCAAATGTAATTAAACTCTACTCTTTAGTGCATGTACCAAAATATTAAAGAAAAATGAAAATCTGCTCAACTCAGTCTCATGCTGTGTATTTGATACATTTATTTTTATTGTTTTAAATGTGGGTGGGTTTTCTTTGGTAACAAATTGGTCTCTATAAAAGCACAGAAAATCTGCTGTCTTGGTATTTTTGTGCGATTAGACTTTCTCCAGCTCCCAAATCAAGTAATTTATTGGTTATGTGCTGTTTATGTTGATACACGATAGCGCCAGAGCCTTTTTACCTGAAGGCGTCTACAGAAATGCCCTGACTGGGTCTTTTTTTTCTTTCAACAAATTAAATTCTCCCTTTGTTTTCTAAGAATTATGTAGTTTTTTTATTTGAAGTCACTTGGACTTTCAAGGCTGTGCGCTAAGGAAAATTGAATGGAGAACAGTACTCTGTGCTGGTAAAATCCAGGGTGCCCAGCTTATGATTTGTATAAATAAAAAAAGATTTTCTAGTCAGCCAAGATCATACATTGGGCACCAGGGGCCAGTAGGCCTGCCCAATATTATGTTGTGCAATTATTTATTTGCTGTTTTCATTTCAGTCCATGATGGAACTTCATAAGCGCAGAAAGGCCCTGACAGAACCAGAAGTACGGTACTTTATGAAGCAAATTGTAGAGGGCTGTAAATATCTGCATGATAACAGGATCATTCACCGTGATCTCAAGCTTGGGAATTTATTCCTAAATGATGAAATGGAGGTCAAAATTGGTGATTTTGGTCTGGCAACTAAAGTAGAGGTTGATGGTGAAAGGAAGAAGTAAGAAGTGAATCATTACTTTATTTCTTTAACCCGCTAACCCATGGCAATATTTTTGAGGGTTTTTCTTCAAATGGCAGAGTCTTCAAGCTTTTAAAATGTCATCCCAACTTTGACAAGTAATCGTCCACTTCATTCCAGCCTGTGCTGAGCCAAAACACTTTCAACAGTTCTTCTGCACTTAAATTGAAGTAACATTTAGCAAGACCAGGCCATCATTAGACAGTAGGTCTTGGTTCAGGGCTTAGATTCAAATACTTTTATTTGTTGTTCAATTAGTAATATGAATATCCCTTTACTTTTCAGACTGAAAATGTTGTAATTTTGCGTATAACTCTTCACTCTATTTTTAATGGTAATGTCAGTTGTCAATAATTAATATGAACTTTTTTGAGAAAATGGTTTTGTAATTTTCCAGGACTCTTTGTGGTACTCCTAACTATATTGCTCCTGAAGTGCTTAACAAGAAAGGACACAGCTTTGAAGTAGATGTCTGGTCACTAGGATGCATCTTGTAAGTAACTGAGACACATGAAGTCGGGAAAACCATAAGTGCAAGTCATAATCAAAAACTGTACCTAGGAATGAGGGCTGCGTAAAGTTAAATTTCAAGAAGGCTACTTAGAGTCTGAGAAAATGGCCGACATTTTGCAATGCCACCACTGATTCCCCCAGCATATGACATCTGAGAAATGATTCAGTCTGAGCGTAGATTTTTCATGTTGATGACTTGTCACTACCTAGATCAGCCTGGTAGTGCTTCATATTGGTCGTGCAGCAAGGGAAATTTGCTTCAACCAATCAGAAGCACTATCCAGATCTAGGTACTGACACATCATCAGTATGGGGTTTCTGTGCTCATTTCGCAGATGTCATTTTGCAGGGAAACTACTGGTGGCATCGCGAGATGTTGGCTGTTTTTTCTCAGGCTAGAAGGGTGCGCAAAGACCTCTCACTATTATTTTGAGCACTGGAAATAAGCTAAAACATCAAATCCTTTATTCAAAGAATGATTTACACTGATATGTTCAGTTTTCTTGCACAGAAAATACCTAGTAGACTTTGTTATGATGATATCTTACTTGATGCATACCTTGGTTGCAGGTATACTCTTCTTGTTGGCAAGCCACCTTTTGAAACTCAGAGTTTGAAAGAAACGTACCAACGAATAAAGAGAAATGAATATTACATTCCGTCAAAAGTTTCCCACACTGCCCAACTGTTAATCATTAAACTCTTGAGACCAGATCCCGCGACCAGACCCAACCTACGGCAAGTTCTTGAAGATGAGTTCTTTACAGGCTTCACACCCAATCATTTGCCAATCAGCTGTCTGACAATGGCACCCAGGTTTGCGACTGGTTCATCAGCGCATCTGCTTGGGGTTGGTGCATCTTCTCGGAAGCCGCTTAATGAACTGAACACTCAAGAACAACAAACTGCTACCACTGGCAGAAGAGACAAGGTAGCCTTTTTGGAGAAGGTCAGCAAAAGGAGATCCCTGGGTGTAAGAGTCTGCGGGGGAGAAAGCAAACTCATTCAACCAGGAGAAGCTGTTGCTGAAGAGTTGAAAGACGAAGATCAGGAAGGTAGGTTGGAAAATTTGAGGTACACTTTACATTGACAGAGCTCTGTGTTTGTTGAGTTTGTATTCAAATGTTGTACATCTCTATGCGAGATATGACTGAGCAAAGATCAAAGAGCCCTTACTTAAAACAACATGTTGGAAAATTTAAAGTCTTGCTAATGAGGTGTATGTGTCCACTTAACAATTCTGTTTGTTGAATTGACAATTGTATTTATGTAATCATACATATGTTACTTTTTTTACTCACATTTGCTGTGAGGATCAGTTTGGTGTACATTGTTTTTCCTAATGATGCCTTTTTCTCATCATGAGGAGCACAAGAACTTCACCTTGCGTGGAAGATGATAGTTGTTGAGATCCTGGTTAGTGGGTGACTAAGCGGTGTTTGATTGTCTCTCATTATACAGATATCCCTAAAGACTGTTATACCTCACAGCTGCTCAGCCAGATTGTTTCATGCTTGCAATCCAATCCCGTCAGAGCTAATTTTAATGAAGGTAAATTTAACTACTTAAACCATTCTATTTATGATAAACTTCTATTTAACTAAAATTTGTCTACTTTAATCATTATTGCTAGTCCAATGTTCTCACCACTTAATAGCAAAACTGTTTCCTTTACAATGTCGAAGCTAGCATGTAAAGAAAGTTGTGTTCATCCTGTATCCTGGGGCTATTGGATTATGCGATCAGGCTAGTGAATTCTGTTTTAAACTTGCCCTAGTATGGGCAAGTAAAGCTTTTGGGGGAATTCAATTACAGGAGTACTGTAAACAAAATGTTTAAATTTCTAATTCATGTAGATTGAAAGGTGTTCTCCAAGCTGATCTAACAAAGTAAAATTATTACACTTATTTTACTAACTATGAATAATATTAATAAACCAATTAGTTAACTAAATGTGTAATTACTTATCATTAATTCATTATTATTACATGGCTACAACAGTACTGTACCCTCGCTCTGATTGGCAACTAAGCTAAGATTTTCTTGTAATGACCGGGCATTACTAGCTAGGTGTCCAAGGCATATATAGTCTGTGTTTTTAAACACAAAACTTGATAGTGGACATCCATATTATGGTCAATTGTCAGCTGTCAAAAAAGTCTATCCTCTGACCAGTGTCACATGACTGTATTGTGGGCTCAAGTGTACAACTCATTGAGGTGACATTTTTTTTCCACTGACGAGTTATTGGTTTTTGATTGATAGTGGGCTCAGGTCCAAAATTTCTCATGGTCAAAGATACTATGTCTTGTGGTTTTGATAGCATTGCCAGGATCGTTTCGGTTCGGTGAAAATGAGCTTGAATGACCTTTTATGCGTGGATGTTGAAAATTACTGCCTGTGTTTTTTATTGAATAGTGCTTAGTAGGCCATATAATAAGTAACTTATTAACCTCGTCCATACAGTCATTACACCTAGTGAAATCTCAGACTTTGGCTTTGATGCATTGACCTCTCTTTCAAGGCCTCGGTCTGAGATTTCCCTACATGACTTTACTCCTGGTTAATAAGTAAAATATAATCCTGCCTGTCAAAAAAAATTTCAGGCTGGTTAAAATGACTCTTTGGGTAGTACATGCTATCTACAGCTTTTCCTTGGGGCAAAAAGCAGCAAAACTGACTTTGTCTGTAACTGTAGCATGGTTGAAGGCTAATGAATACTATAATCTTATTTCCTCAATAGATGAGGCGGAGGATCCGGCTTCTGTTCCAGTGTACTGGGTTAGTAAATGGGTGGATTATTCAGACAAGTACGGATTTGGTTACCAACTAAGTGATAACAGTGTGGGTGTTCTTTTCAATGACCAAACAAGACTTATTCTTTACCAGGATGAAGTGTAAGTATTTGACATGCTGTTCCCTTCTCTGAGGTTATTGTGATCAAGTAGACTGCGAGCGATAGATTGAGAGCATGTGTGAGGAGTGAGAGGAATGTTTTTCTTTTCCTCTCTCTGCCCCAATCTCTCCTCTTTTTTACTATAGATTTGCATAATTTTACTTTTTGCACACCCCTCGTGGCTCAAAGAAAAGAGGGACCATCACTTGTGATCTAGTGATGGAGTGTTCATAATTTCACAGAGTGTGGAGAGAGAAAGACCGCCTGATCACAGGTTATCACTGACACCATTCAAATTTTTGTAAGCTAAAACCCCTTTAGATTTTTTTATGAACAGTTACCATTGTATTAACAGGAGCTTAGCTGGGAATTTCCCATCGCTAGACACGATTTTCCAAATCCACCCTATCATGTCTTCCAAATCCCTTTTTATTTTCAGGTGATTGGACTTTTTTTTTTTATTAATGTAACAGTGATGGGTTAATCATCTCTATTGGATGTAGGACCATGTTTTGCATGTTTTTTTTGGAATTTGGAATTTTGATTTACAATTTCCTTTGATTTTCATTCTCTAAAAAAATGTTTTTTGAAAAAATTCCAGTAAAATATTCGAATAATGCTTAATGCTTTTACCTCACCAAAATGCTTGAACAAAATGCTAGCATAATGTACAAAACCCTAATACTAGAGCGCAGGTATCTGTGCCTTTAAGTTTAATTAATTAGTAGTATTTGTTTCCCGTTTTTGCAGAAATCTACAATACATAGAAGCTGATGGAACAGAGTACTTTCACACGCTCAAAGGATACCCCAGCCAACTTGAAAAGAAAGTAACCCTTCTTAAATACTTCCTCAGCTACATGAATGATCATCTTCTGAAGGTATGCAATGAACGTTTTGACTCAATAACATTCCCTATTTATTTTCTTGTTCGTTTGCGTAAATTTAAATCAGCTTGTGCACTTCCTGATCCAAGAAGAAATCATATACGCTAAGAATCTTTTCCAGAGACTATTTCAAGATAATTAGCCTGCAAAAACATCCGTTTCTCCTCGCTCTTCGCTGCTTGGGACGTTTCGCGAGGCGGAAACGTCCCTGGCGGCGAAGAGCGACGAGAAACGGATGTTTTCGCAGGCTACAAGATAATTGCCTTGTAAAGGATGTACTATATCCAGATTTTCTTCAAACTTGGCACATTAATTGACAGCCATGTAAAGGACATTGAAAAACTTCAATAAAAAAAATGAACACTGATATTGTTTTTGTCCTGCGTGCTAAGTGTTTTTCTTAGTTGCGTGCGAAATGCTCTTAACTTGAACAGCAATCAAAAGTTATCTTAATGTTTGATTTCATAGGCTGGTGCAGGTGCTAAAACTGTAAGAGAGGATGAATCTGCCCGATTACCTTTCTTGAAAAAGTGGTTCCGCACAAAACATGCCATTATACTCCATCTTAATAATGGCACTCTTCAGGTAAGGAATTGTGACTTGTTTTCATTGATAAGGTACACCAAAATTTAGTCCCAAGTTCTCCTGCTCATCCTGGCGGGGGGATGGGGATAGAATGTGCGTACCGTCCACCTGAAGCTACGAACAAACGGACGCAACAACTCCCAACATTGTTGGCCGTATAAACGTTTGACCGCTTTCAAACGTTACACAACAAAATGCAACAAGGTGTGCAAACGGACGCAATATGTAACATCCATCAATGTTCTGAATGTTGGGAGTTTTTGGCCAACAAGGTTGCGTCCGTTTGCGCTGGGCCTCAGGCTTTTTAGGCAAATGACCATTTCGAGCTATCCACGTAATTAGGGAGGGAAAACGTCGCTGAAAAAATAATTTGTGTCCTTTCAAACTTTATCTCGTCTTTCTGGAACCGCTCAATTCAGGAAAATTCATCGTAGTATGTTCACGTCCTCTACAAAACGTCATATTAGGTGGTTCCACCCCGTAGTTGAGTAGTGGACATCAAAGAAATGTTTGCACGTGCAGAACTGTTGTTTTACACATAGAACCAATATTGCGGGACACATTTCGGCTCCAGTTTCATTCTCGTTTCAAACTTGAGGAATCAAGAATTGTTTTGCTGTAATTGGGCCCCGATTAACTATGAAATTCCTTCACCGCCTAGTAAGCGCAAGGGTTTATTCTTGAGCGCGGCCTTGCGGAATTTCCGCAGTTTGGAGAAAAATGCCGCGTAAAATTTATTTTGCCGCGTCAAATCGGGCGCAAAGAAAATAGACCCAAGGATAAGTACTATTGAATGTTCCAAAATGGCGGCAAAGCGTTAACAAACGTTCGTTTTCTCATGGAACAGTCTGTACCAATAAGTTAAATGCCAAAATACCTTTACCGTACCTTTTTAAATACCAAATACCTTTTGGGGGACCCCATTTCTTGAAAAAGGGCCCCCTACAACTAAAGAAGGGGGTCCATTTGACCCTCTTTGGCCAATTTCTAGAATAAACTCTGAAGGGGTATATATAGATTGAAAGAGTTAAATCAATGAACAGTTCTTCGTTTGACCTTGCATTCCATTTTGGGGTTTTGAGTGTTCAAACATTTAACATTACCTTGCTCTTTTTTATTCTTTCACAGCTTAACTTTTTTCAGTGCCATACCAAGATTATTGTATGTCCTTTGCTGGGAGCTGTGACCTTCATTGATGAAAATAAAAGACTCAGGACATTCCCACTAAAGAACATTGAAAAACATGGCTGCTCCATAAAGTTGTATACCCGAGTGAATTATGCTCGCAAAATGATTCAAAAGCACATGCTGCCTGAAAGTGAGAATCAGAACGGCAAAAAGGAATAATTATGAAACAGTGTAAATGCTATGAATATTTTACCATTCTCCTAAGTTCTTCAGAGATCCCTTGCATTCTGAAGTTCCCCCTTTGTGAATATAGTGCTGTACACTACTCACAATTGGGCTTGACTTACATGGAGATTTTCTCATTTTACTTGATGGCCCTATGGGTAAACTTTTATACTCAATATTCCTGCATTATTAGATTATTTATTGTTAAATTTATGCAAGACTTAGTTAGTTTTTTTCTCCGTTCACATGATTTGTTGCTGGATGTAAATAGATGATTCTAGAGACTGGACTAGTTATCTTTGCTTCTTCCTACAATTTTTAAGTCAATTATAGTGCGAGTGATAATATTATTACGGTTACTTTGGTTTGATCTTTGTGCCCGTACGCGATAGTTAACGGCATTCATTTAAATTCTCACTGGAACTGTAAAAATTAATTAATTAACTGATGAATTTGAAACAGCCAAATTTTAAAATCATACGAGTTTCAACCCATATTCGGAAAATGATGCTGTTTGTTAGATGTTTAAATGTTTGAATCTTCGCCTCCAGATTTTTTGCCGTCCGTCCGGTCAACGCTTTGACAGCAAAAATCAAATTCTCGTACTATTGTCAATTCATACTTGTGAATCAATCATTTGACACCGTTGAGAGGATTACCCATTCCCTACTGTCTTTCAGTTATACAGTACTAGGAATGGATAACATTTGATCCACAAATAGCTATTGAAGAAAATATTACATTAATTGTTTAGCATGTGAATGGAATTATTTAGCTTTTCCCCTTGAACAAAAGATAGATATTCACCCATTATATTAAGAGAGGGTGTTTTCGACTTAGACTTGAATCGCTCCTCCAGAAACTATGAAAATGTGAAATTTAATGTAAACACTTGTTAAAAAAGAGCGTTTCAATTTATTATTAAATGCATCGCTATTAATGTAAATAGCTCTTTTATCCCTCTGAATTAAAGTATTGACTTAAAAAGTAGTTGATCTGGCATTTATTTGATTGTATGCACCTATAAATCGTTATAAAAGTTTATACCGTCACACCTCAAAAGAGGTGTGTGAAATTACTCACTGAAATGGTACACAGTACAAACGCAGACGTTGAGAAAAATGAAGAAATAACTCAAGCAACCCTGGTGCTCCAGTAGTCTTGACTTGTACAGGTCATGGCAAACCTGGGAAGTCATGGAATTTAAACATTTAATTTTTCTGGCCTGGAAAGTAATGGGATTTAATTATTGGTCTTGGAAAGTCATGGAAAATTAAAGTTTTGTTTGACAAATAAGTTACTCCAGATGACAAAGCAATGACGATGTAAGGTACAGAGGAGAGAGGAGTAATTAACCAACGCAAACGGCACACGTTGTGGCAGACACCAGAGTTTGTGTCTGTTGAACTGTTTAAGGTCCAAGGATATCCTAAACAAGGAACGTTTTTAAATCTTTTGAAAGTGACAGCTAAACCTAAGATCTTGGAAAACTTAAAAAGGTCGTAAAAAAAGTCATGGAATTAAATTTAAGGAGCTCAAAATGAGTACGAACCCTGTTGTAGTAAAATATACGTGTGAGCGACAAACAGAGATTTATTGCTTTTGTTTTAGTGCGCCCTTTTGCCAGTTTGCACTCGTTGGCAAGTTCTGATCTCGATTCTTACAGATGTCTCCTTCTGGGGACGGGGAGCATTGCGTGACTCCGGCCATCCTCGGAGACCTAGGGGCAGATCATGAGTGGGGGCGAGGGAAAGTCTAAACAGGCCGGAAAATATGGCTCGAAAAAAAAAAGAACGGCCAGAAGAGCTCTTCTCGCCGTTCTTTACTTTTTTTCGTGCCATATTTCCCGCCCATTTAGACTTTCTCTCGCCCCCACTATCTGCCCCTGGGTCTCCGAGCGGCTGCAAAGGAGATTACGATTCTTTATAGGGACTGATCATATAATTCATTACTAGCCTGAGTATCAGGCCTTCCTAAGGGGCTAGGGGAGAGGAGATTTTAGATGGGGGAGGCGGGGAGGGTTTTTTGCTTCCATCTTTCCCCTTTTCCCTCAGAGACGCCTGATACTCAGGCTAATTCCTTACTGGCCGGCAGAAGTTCTTAGGGGTTCGTCATGCGTTCCTGCCCTACTAGTGGGGCAGTGGGGAACGTCTGCTTGGGAGGCTAGGGTTGGGTCGATCGGTTCTCTTCCCTCCCGAGAGACCTCTCTGTGTCGTAGGGAGGCCAGGGAGAGGAAAATGTAAAAAGCACGGGACAAAATTTTTTGTTGTCGTTTAACCAAGGTGCCGAGAGCTCGGTACCCTGGGTGCCAGAGGCTTTTCATGCGCGGTGCCAACGGGAACGGGGGTACCAATTTGGAGTCCCGGACGGCACATACCCCCCCCAAAAAAAATAACCAAGTGCCCCCCTCCCCCCGGGATGGAGAAACCCTCTCTGAGCTAACGTGAAGACGAAGGTTCTCTTCAACATCATGGCAACGGGAATGGGGAAAAAAGAAGAGGAAAACACGCACGCACGTTCGTACCTGTAAAAGTAGAGAGGAAAAATAGAAATAAATAATATAAAAAAATAGGATAATTAAAAAAGCCAATAAATTAGAGATGATTCTTTTAAAAAGCACGGTTTGTGTCAATATATCAGTAACTGATTGTTTCTTCGAAATATTTTTTTTCTGGAAACAGCGAACAGACCGTAAAAGCAAGCTGCATGGTATCATAGCGTAACTGCGTTCAGTTTTCTCCTCTGCCTATCTTCAAGTAGACAAAGTAGGGCACGATTTCCTTAGACTGCTTGCAATGCGCCTTTTCTCTTAAAATCCTTCTAGTTATTATCTCAGCCACCCGCGACTGACTAAATTCGCAGAGTAAGATAAGAGACTGCTCTCAGTCTACCATTTCGTCAACTTAGGGTGCTTCTGTGTGTTATAAACAATGTCGCCGAATAACAGCGCTGTTAAAGATCGTGGCTACGCCCCTGCAAGCAGGGGGTGATTTTTGTGGGTGATTTGTCGAAAACGTTAAGTATTTAACACAAAGGAGCTTTTTCTAAGACGTCATTAGCCTGTTTTTTTTGTTCCCAAAAATTCGACATCACGCGACAAAAAAATACCCCGCAGTTTTTATTTTCATACGCGCTCTCGACGATCTCTGAAGAGAAAAATAATAGAGGGTGTGTGAACAGGCCAAAACGTCAAGAAAGTAATAGATTTAATCAACCAACAACAATTTTGCATGTGCAGCACAGACTTTTTGGTAGTTTCTTTGGTGTCGACCCTGCACGACCAAGACGTGAAACATCCTAATGCGACGTTTTATGGAGGACATGAACACACAACTACGGGTTTTTCTTCCCTTTCTGCTGAAGTTGGATGAGGTGCCCAAGAATTTAACTGCAGGGAAAATCACCTACATTTGGCATTTTAAGCAGAGTTGAACTGAAACGCGACAAAGTTAAATTTGAAAAAACGCGAATTCATTTCAGTAGACAAGTTTTCGCCGCTCTCGCTGTCGTCGTTGCTAATGCTCCCAATATAGATCAGCCGCAGCACCGTGACCATTGACATCTAAAAACTCACTTACACTTAGAGAAAAAGGGGATAGGGGTCCAAAACCCCTCAAACCCTCCGATGGGGGCCCTTTTCACTATGCGTTTTCGCGATAAGTGAGTTCAATATCAAAATTTTAATAGTGAGCAGTGCATGTGTTCAGGGTGAAAAATAATAAAATACACTTAAATTCAGTTGCTTGTTTGCACGTTGTTGGTAGTCAAGAACAAAAGCATTTCTCTCCTCTTAGAACTGAACTCTGTTTTCATGTTTATACTACTGCATGAGAAATTTCTGCAATTTGATTGGCTTAAAGCAGTGGTATTTCTTATTTCTGCTTAATTTGAAATAACTACATGTGAAAATTACAAAACTTTTATGGGTAGTAGAATATCGTTGTATAGCATGATTTGTACGTGATCTCTGTAATAAATACCACTCGTGATATTTAAAAATTGTCTCAAATTTCACTCGCCTAACGGCTCGTGAAATTACGTATAACAATTTCGAAGTACCACACGTGGTATTTATGCCAAATATCACAAAAAAATCATGGTATTACCAACATGGCCTCCTTGTCGCGTGGTTGCAAACCAAGAAAACGATGAAAGAGAATGGAGGAAACATTATTTAAAGAATGGAATGGTACTTTCTACATGTTCATCAAGAAAGCCATAAAATTATTTTGCCAGGAAGCAAACATATGTTAATGTAGCAGCCTACCCACCCCTGACAACTTATTCACAGGCTACTATGATATGGATATGGGCTCCTGCTTTCCACCCATTCCTCGCAGATGAATTTTTGCCAGGAATAGATTTAGGTGGCTTTATAGTGTAAACGGAAGTTTTTTTGGAAATGTCGACGAGTCTGTGGGTTTAATATTGCGTGAAGCAAGCAAGTCGTTTTAATCAATAAACGTATGCATATTAAAAATAAAGAATTATACTAAAATAATCTCGAACATAAAAATTAAATTTAATTCGAGATATCAGAGTCTTGGGGCAAAAAAGGATTTTTTGGTATAACAGATGGTGCCGTCACCATACGACATCTATAAAAACTATTTAAACAAAGGACCAACCTCAAAATTAACTGAGTTCTTTTCACGGTATGATTTCACAGAAAGCTTACATGTATTTACAAGCAATGGACAACTAATTAAGTTAAAAGTTATTAGCCGAGATTCAAGTCCAGGGCTCGGGATAAGTAGCAGTGGCGGATCCAGACCTTCAGATAAGGAAGGGGGGAGGGGTCATCTAGACCCTGAGACAAAGGGGGGGGGGGTGGTTTCAACAAAAATTTTTTTGGGCTCTTTGGTCCTCAGTTTGGTCTAAAAACAAGGCCCCCTGGGCCCCTCTCCTGGACCCGCCACTGAGTAGATTTTCTTGCAGGGTAAGTACCTTTTAAAGCTCACTTACCCAGATACCCAAAGGGCAAGGGTCCAGGCAAGTCATCCTCTCACTAAATCATTAAATAAGAAGAGCAAGAAGTGGCCTCAGGCAGGCAAAGTGTGAGAGCCGCTTACCCAAAGGACAAGCTGCAATTCAAGCTTTTATTCAAGTTGTTAAGTTGGTACTGTTTCTGTTAATAAAGTATTCTCTCTTATTGCTTTTTACCTCATGAACCAAACTTATAAATAAGATGTTTTCTATGGTACATGCAATGTGATTTAATTTCATCCTTGGTTCGATTTCTAATTTACCTTTGTTTTCGTGAATGGTAAGGTATGAAGAAAAATGAAATTAAAAAAAGGAAAATAAAACTGGACCAAGGATAGCCTGTGTAGCTGGCCGGATCATTTACCCGAGGAAAGTTTTGGCAGAGGAGCTGGGGTAGGCTCGATTTCCGTCGTCTCCCGGGTCCAGTAGATGAGTACAGGCTCATTTTCCTAAACAGCGGCTGGTAATCGAGCTTACAGCTGGGGGGATGTGCAGAGAATGTGGAGGAGATGCTTTGAAACCAAAATGGCGACTTTGCTGCGAAACCTCTCACATGTGCAAAAACAATTTTGTCAGCAACGCAGGCTAGACGAAGGATAAAAACCAAACCACAACATATTATACTCAAAGCTTTTATGCGGATACCTATGACTGCCTGAACAGTATCTTATTTTTAGCAGTGACTCCAATTATCTTGTCTGCTTTAGTGTGTACATGTAGTAGCATGAACAGGTTCCCCTACCTATCTAGAATAATGGCTGTTCATCTGTGGTGAACACTTCCTAAAGTCCCGACAAAATCGTTGGACAAAAAACTACTTAATTACACAACATTCACTTTCAAAGACGTCATTTTCGTCTACTTTTGAATGCCTTTCATGATCAAGTGCTCTAGGGGAAATAAACTGAGCTATCTGGCACCATGAACATCCATTACTCTTTACGACAAATTATTATAACTTATATGTAACACGTTGGGGACAAGTTTCTATCATCAAAAGTGAAGATTCCAAGAGAAAAAAACAATGTAAACAAAAGGATGTACAAAAAAGTCTAAAATCAAATTTCATTTTTCCTAGCAATAAAATTCTTCATTAAGATTTTCCAAAAAGTGGTCGGTGTTGATTCTCTCCTGGTGGTGGTCCAGCCATTCTGGGTGGGGGTCCAAGAGGTGCTCCAGGAGGTGGTCTTATACCCCCTGGTGGTGGCATTGCTCCAAGCGGGGGCATGGGAAATGGTAATGCTCCTGGAGGAGGTAGTGCACCAGGTGGTGGCATCATTCCAGGGGGTGGGGGTGGTAACATTCCAGGGGGTGGCATGTGGGGAACTTGTGGTGGAGCTGTAGAGGTGGCTTGGTATGCTGCAGCTGTAAAGGAAAGCCAGATAAAAGTGAGAAAAATGAGAACAAAGGAGCTGAAATTATGCTTAAAACACACCTGGTTTGTGAGCTTACTGGCGAAAAGCTAATGTCCTTGAAAATATAGAGAGGGGAGGTACTGCAGTATTATCTTTCTACGCAAACGTTGCTGGAATTTGGCATTCAAAATTTAAGGATTAATGTAGAAAGTGCATCAACCACAATAATATTACTGTATTTTTTAATGCCTATACATTGTAACCTTATGGATCTTATCATCAAACTTACAGTTTCTAATGTCGAAAACTGCAGAGAAACCACGGGTTTAAACTTTTTGGGACAAAGGGGGTCATACGAGTGTTGACCATGAAAAATCATCCTTCATTTATCCATCTAAATGAATGAATAACTATTTGAAATTAAAGAGTCACAAGAAAGTTAATTATGGAAAATTATGGTCAATTTATCGAAATAGTATATTATCACGTGCATTTAGTCCATAGCAAACTAACTTGGAATGCTTAAATAAAATAAACTATTCCCCCCCACTAAAAAAAAAAAAAAGACACAAAATGAGATAATAGTACCAGTATTATCAAATATAGTAATAATGGATCACAACTTAAAAAAACAATATGTTTAATATCACACAATTATGACAAGAACATATTATTTTATAGTTAGTAAGTGATAGTCAAGATAGCTACAGAAATAGGTAAGTAACCTTACAAGAAGAAGGCAATTTTTAAGTAGGCCAGGTTACAAGGCTCCAACTGACCAGTTACCTATATAACTCTTGTTACATACTTGTCTGATCAATCAAACTTTGTGCCTGTTCTTCCATCCACTTGGTGTAGTAAAAACGCACATTGTCTTTGTGTTTTCGACCACCATTATGAGTCTTTCGGACTGATGGCTGGAAGCAAAGTGATATATAAGACATCTAGGTTCCAGATTTAAACAACTTACAACTTTGCTTATTACTGTAATGAGTGGATTTTTTGCTAGCTTTTCATTTCTTAACTAAAATTAATTTAATGTCTTAACATCTTTCAGACATGACCCACAAAGTTTCCATCCATTTTTGCCCCAAGAGATACAAAATAGTAAAACTATATTCTAGACTGAGCTGTGTGGTCGGTGCATTAGAATCTCAAATATATCTAAGGGTACGTTCCTTTGGGATGATCTGGATCAGGATCATTGATCCGAGATCACTCGGATCATGGTACATCAAATGAACTGATGAATCCACTATGGACAAGAATTCACCGATTCATTTGATCTACTATGATCTAAATGATCTCAGATCACTGATCCTGATCCAGATCATATCAAAGGAACGCACCCTAAAGGTCCCATGTTTGAATCCTGCTCCAACCACTTGCTGGATTTGTTTCTTAGTAGTCACAAGTTCAAATGCTTGACCATGCTTGTAAATTTATCGCTTACTAGTTTGCCCTCTGCCAGTTAGGGTTTTAATAGGAGGTATGTCATGATTTTTTGATATACTGTAAAACCCTGAGAACATACTGGAATCAAAGGAAACCCTAAAACAATGGCTAACTTCTATTTAAAATTACTCTACTAAAACAACTCAGCTATAAGCGTGTGTAGCTTTCCATGGCCGAGATGGAAACAGACTGCAAATTGAAAAAATTGGGTGAATGTTTTCATCACCAGATGAAACACTGAGAAGAGAGTTGAAAAAGTGATGCACAGTGGAGAATTTTTGACGAACTTCAAGATCATTTGTTTCATCTGGTGTTCAAGCAGATGTATCAAGCATTCGACACAGTGTTTCATCTGGTGATGAAACACTGTGTCGAATGCTTGATATTACTTCTCAAACAAAATGATTTTAGAAGGAGAAATTAAGGACGCAAAAATGAGCAGTTTTTCATCTGATTTCTAAACACTCATTTAACTTTAATTTCCCCTGTATTTTCTTTATGAATAATTATGAATGAGCTTGAGAAGTTAAACTCTTAAGTTGTCAAAAATGCCCTAAATCCATCACGCTATGTTACACCTTTGATATCATTATTTGATATCTTTCTTTTATAGCTAAAGTATGACAAAAGGTGACAGGAGAATATCAATGGCATTAGGTATTTAATGTAATGTCCTGTTCAAATGCTGTGCCACTCCTATGCCAAACATCAGTGATAAATTACCAGAGGTACAGAAGAAGAATGCAGTTTAATTTAATTCAAGGCTTAACTACAGAATACGGGGCAAATTTTCTGGGTATATTCGTTGGGGTGGCTCGGTAGTCCCGACTAATGAGCCACCGAGCCACTAAACTATATAACCTCGACTGAAGAGCCACTGAGCCGTCGAGCCACTAAAATATATACCTATAATCTGCTATAATACATACTCAAGTATATGCCTTCTATGTCTGTCTTACACTTATATGTCTTATATCTTTCTCATTCTTTAAACACTTGTCGTGACTAGCGAGCCACCGAGCCACTTCTGTTTAAGACCTTAAAATATGGCCCTGTATTCTGTAGTTGCTCCTAATTCAAATTTGACATTCTTGTTTAGTATGACACAGAAAATCTATGTGAAGTATATATGAAAATCTAGTTTGACACTGGCTTTCACATTATCTAACACCGGAGCAGTGTCCTTATGCATATAAGTACACTGTTTGAAATTGCTTCATAAAAGTGAAATTATATCAAATTCGGTACATGAATAGCGCACTGTTTGTAATGTTCCTTTAACAAGTAATGATTTTTAATTAAAATGTAAGCTTAAGCTTATTTCATTCATGATCAGACCACGACTGCATGGATATAAATGTGGTTTGCGAGTTATGAACGTGCCTGTTAGACAAGATTTAGACATGAATTAGAGTATTAAACAGATTAGAGAATATTGAAAAAATAAATTTGCACCTGCACCAGTGACTTTGAACATTAATTAAAGAAACAGCAAACTAGAAACTTTGATATAAAAGATTTTACACATGTACTTACCGAGTCGTGTGTGAGGTAGGTGTCGCAGTAATCACAATAATACCTAATATATCACAAAAAGTTACATAAACACGCCTGAAAACTAAATTAACACATTCCTTAAGCATTTATTTTCGAATGAAAAAAATCTGCCCCAAAATGACAGTAAAATAAATCAACGAGAACACTTACTTCGGCATCTCAACACAACGCGTCCGCCACGTTTGCGCAGATAAACCCATGCGCATCTACTTTGTATTTTTTCGCTGAATTGTTGTAATGCAGGCTCCTTTGTATTGCAACAAAAGCAAGATGGCTATGCTTGCAGAGAAGAAAACGAAACAGAAATGGAGCAATGATCCACGTAACACGGCTTGGACAAATGGTAAGGAACTATTTTGTGTGATAGTTTAAATAGCTGAATCTCCTTGAACATTTTCTTTCTCCGTGTTTCACAATTTCAAAAATGTTTCTCTGTGTTTCTGAACGACCACTGCGACCGAATGCTCGGCCCCGCTGAATGCACTACGACCAAAAATATGATCATGATCTAAAAAGCTTATGTGTGCTTATTCATTTGTATGGAAGGGGTTGATAGAAAGGAAGCGTTCTGCACTTCTGCATACGTTGTTTTATTCATATTGACATTACAGTAACCACAGTTTCTATTTGTTTTCGTAGTACCGGTATTTTTCATTGAATGTCACTATGCGGAATCTCCCCATTCCCCATTGTTTTAACAATGGGAAATTTATAATCATTGCATTTGCAAATGTAGCGAACGTGTGGCCGCAGGCTATTGCAAGTCTATTGCAGAGCTATTGCAGGCTATTGCTTGTGGAACTTGGTTGGGAGAAAATGCAACATACGTTACTCTGGTTTAATACCTGATTTTGAAGTGCACCTCAATGACTTGTCTCAGAAGTGGAGGTAGTGGTATAACCGGAGAAGGTGGGGGGGGTGGGAGGGGGAGACTGCTATAAATTGGCTATTTCTGTAGGCCTCTGTGAAGGGTATGGCTTTCAAGTAGTTATTCTGGGGCAGGTATAGAAACCAGAGAGTTTGGACCAAGAATAGAGTAGCATTTTCCAGGAAACTGATCAACTCAGGCAGGGATCTAGGATAAATACTGACTGATTTCCTAAACGAGCTAGAGGGTCCAGTGGCAGGCTCCCCCAGGGGAGTTTTTGGATTTTTAACTCCTTTAAGTCCTCTTTCCTGCATCTTTTTCCGAGTCATTTGGACGGGATATTGGACAGAGTTTCTTTTTGGAAAGTGTTTTATTTAATTTTTGTTGAAAATATATTTATTATGAAAAATCTGACCGATTTCCGTAAAACGCTGGAAGCCGGTGTGGATCCGCGCCTGCAACTGGTTGAAGATTTTAGTCTAGACTAGAAAAACCAGGAATTGACTTAGAGCAAAGAAAATTAAAATTTAACGTAAAGATAAAACTTAATTGCAATAACAATAAACAAATTATTTTCCTGACGATGTCTTCTTTAGCATTTTTTTCAATCTAACTTTTTTTAATGTTGTTAATACAGTCAAACCTCTTTAATACAGACACCAACGGGACAGAACCAAGTGTCCCCTTTACAGAGGTGTGCATATTATAGAGGTAGAGAATGTATGAGTTGTGGCATTTCTGGGACCAAACGAACTGTCCGTACTAGAGAGCTCTCTGTATTATAGAGGTGTCCGTAAGGAGAGGTTAGACTGAAGTATTTTTTCTGTACTAACTCTATGCCCAAGAATTTGAGTTATTTTGCCTATTTTTCTTCTATTATTAAATGATCAGACACCAGCCGATTTGGTTACCAGATGTTAACTAAGATGGGATGGGAGAGTGGTAAAGGACTGGGGGCTAATGAAGATGGATTGACAACTCATGTCAAGGCTACAAAGAGAAGGGATAACCTGGGTAAGGAAGAGTAGTATATTTTGCAGATTGATGTCCTTTTCAGAAAAAGAGCAGGAGTGTTTATCAGTTGGCCTGAAAATCTTCTTTTTAGATCAGTGAACTTATAGTAAACAACATGTTTTTCGATAACCTTTCCCAAGAAAATAGGAACTGCAAACTCAGCCTTGTTTTGGCAGTTTTGATTAAGAATACAAGTAAACATTTCATTTATCATTATACAGTCAATTCTCCCATAGCGACCACTTCTCATGAGCAACCACCTCCTGTAAGCGACCACTTTGTAAATAACTGTTTTGTTTCTTTGTCAAATACTGCTTCAAAAACTCTCTTGTAAGCGACCACTTCTCAATAAATTATTTTAAGCAACGGTGACCACTTTTAAGTCCAGAATTTTGACATATTCTTTACATTGTTTTTTGTTTCTAGCAAGCGACCACCTAGCATGATCGTGTATGATTATTTTCTTGATTTGTCCCATAGACGACCACCTCCTGTAAGTGACCACTTTGTCATGCACCAAGGGTTGCCACTTACGAGAGAGTTGACTGTATTATGTTACTGCTTTCCCTTTAATATTTACCTTTTTTCATACACTGAGTTGCTTCTTTAATAATATAGTCCATGTAAACCATGGTTTTGATAGGTACACGCAACTTACTACCTAATTTTTTTTGGTGTCTGAAAAACTGCACAGCTCACTAGCAACACCTTCGTCAAATTACTGAAACTGAGATTTGTAGAGTACACGATAAATTATGTCCACTATAATGATATAAAATTATATTACTCAGGCTGTGTAGTGACTAGTGGAGATAAATGATAAACGTCCCCCACTTTTTAAATTCAGATCCATGATGATATATGATTATCTACTCTGTTACAATAACATTCAGGTCTGGGAGCTGACAAATCTAATGAAGATAACTGGTTATCACATCAGATGGCATTTGATGATTTGTTGTCAAAGCTTAATGACAACACAGAAAGTGGAATTGGTGAGTTTCCTAGACAACTTGAATTCACTTAAAATAGCCTGGATATCTGTGTTTCTGATTAGTGACTTATGAAAAAAGATCTGAAAACATGGATCATAAACTTCTGGCCCCAGTTGTTTGAATAGTGAAAAATGCTAGCATCTGGATAGATTTTAATCCACTGCATAACACAGTCGGTTTCCCTGATACTCATCCACTAGATAGTGATTATCTGGTAGATATCACTATCCATCATTTAAACAACCAGCATCTAATGACAGATGCTGAGGAAGAAGGCCCTTTTGTTTATATTAAATTGAGGCCCACAATGCTGAGGTGCTGAGGTACTTCAATTTAACCACAGCAGAGAGCCTCCATTCCTAACCCCTTTCCTGGAGGTCTAGATCAGCCAACAGTCACAGAGGCTCGATGACTGAGTTTTTGAAATGTTATTCCTCCCCGCCCCCAAAAAAAGACGAAACAAAAACATAGTTGTGAGATAACAGCAAAGCATCCTACCCCATTAACCACTCTATTATTTGCTGTTTTCGTTGACATAGGAGAAGGCAAACCAAAGGGAAAGGCAAAGAAACATGACATGGAAAAGACAGCTCGGCAGTCAAGAAAGCGAGTCTTGTAGGTGCTCCTTATTTAGATGTTGTACTGTGGGTAAAAATGAAATTCGGGTTAAAATAGTTTCAATCTAGGCTGAATTCAATTCCCTTTGTTTCCTAACTCTAATATTATGCATGACTGACTCTGTAAATAAACTGTGTCAAGAGTACACCTCAAGTAAGTGGTAACTATCAATCGTACCATGGGTGTGTCAATGTACCCTGGTTTCACAAGACAGTTTAAGTCTCAACCAAGGGTAACAACATTGTACTTTGGTACCAGGGGCTAATTTAAGGGTAGGTCCGAGGGGAGGTTCCCTTTTTTGTAAAATTTTCTTTAACTGTTAAAGGATTCTCAGTGAAATAAAAAGCATCTATATAGCTGGCAAGTGCTGCGGCCACCCCTTTCTGAATTTTTTGGATCTGCCCCTAAATACTCTTTTTCAGTAATCACTCTTTTAGGTATGTTCAACAAACTATCCTTGTTTTGAAGCTGACTTACATTGTACATAAAAACGTTGTCTCCTTTATAGCTACAATCGCTTCATTCAGAGCAAAGACTTATCATCAAAATCCGCTGAAGACATGGCATGTATCTTTGGTCAGCGAAGCAAGTCAGCCCCTGGAACTCCTCAGGATTATTCAGAGGTTGTTATAAACCTAAAAGTACTTTAACATTAATTTGTAGCATTCAATTTTATTTCGTTTACTGGTTTGTAGTTTACTCTTTAGATGAATAGTAAACTGTTTTTTTTCTTGAAATCTTGGCTTACGTACTTGAGTTTGAGGCAAAGGTGTGTTTTTTGTCTTGGTGAATCTAGAAAAGGTGCAATACACTTGAATTCAACGTCTTTCCAGAAACGTTTTCAATATGGATCACCAGTTATCTTCTCTTGACTACTCCCGTTTTTTTTCCTTAGGTGTAGAAATCATTATAATGCCTGAGTAGTACATTTAAGTAGCTTTCACAAGGCTGTTGAGTTCATAATGCGCGATAATTATTTTTAGATGTAGAAGGTAGACATCAAAGATTTCTTTTTGCTGCAAACAAACTTACAACCTATAAGAAAAGGAAATTAGAGAGATTTAGAGTCACGTCTACGGCAAACGTGAATTTGTGCCACGTGACCAAGTTTTGCCTGTACTTGTCTCTGTTCTTTACTTCTACAAAAAAATGAGTTGTTTCACGGTTTTTTCAGCCAAAAGAATTGTTTTAGAGTGTTTTTATCTGCTCATTTTCTATTTTGAGAAATTCTCAACTCGAGTCTGCCCTTTACCGTAATATAAAAGTGACTCCAAATCTCTCTATTGTATGAACGTGTCTGCGCCATATTGGGTAAATAGGTAAGCCCTTTAGCTGCAATAAACTATCTAGCTGTCTGTCTTAATTCTGTATGAACCTTCAGTGGAACTTTTCAATGGAAAACTCACGAGAAATAGATGGTATAGTAAACATAGTTTTCTTAGTTTTGTTAGGAAGTGAAATTGAGAGCGTTTTCTCGTATTTGTCTTCCTGTTTCCCGTGTTAGGGTGAAGAGTCAGACGAAAGCACATCGTCTTGTCCGCCTCCAGCCATCCACGGTGTCAAAACCATCACCTCAGGCCAGAGTATTCAAGAATACTTTGAGAAAAAGATGAAAGAAATAAAGGCCGCGAGGGAGGGCAAGGCAGCGGGACAAGAGATGAACAAAGAGGAACAAGCATCTGCAGATGAAATTCAGGGGAATAATTCGGCGAATCCAGAAAACTGTGGGAAAGAATCGAAGTTAAGGAAAAAGAAGAAGGAGAAGAGACGAAAGAGAAAATTTTCAACGGAGAATCCTGAGCTGCAAAGCGAGGAAGTTAGTACAGAGGTTGATAAAGATGAGCGCTCCGCAAAGAAAAAGAAGAAAAACGAGGATTTGGACGTGAAACTCGAAGAAAGCGAGGATGTAGTTGTAGTCCAGGAAGCACGAAAAGTGGAGAAAAAGAACCGGAAAAGAAAGGAAAAGAATGCTAAAATGACAGACTTTGAGATTTGCGACGTTGATGTAATTCAAAGTGACAGCAAAGAGTGTTCGACAATGAAGGATGTGAAACCTATAAAGGAAAAACACAAGAGCTGTAAAAACAAAGACAAGAGTATATCTCATATAGAGAAAAGTGTGATAAAAGACAAGAAGGTTAAATTGGAAAAGCCAAGAGACATTAGTGAGGAAGAAGAAAGTAAAAACAATAACGGAAAGAAAGGGAAAAAGGGTAGAAGTTGTATTTCTCATGACTTGGCCAATGTTGAATTTGTGGCAAAGAAGGATCGAAAGAAAAAGAAGAAAAAAGATAAATCTAAAGAGGGCAAGAAACGTGAATAACAGATGAGGATTGCTTATTGGAACCGTGCTGAAGAGTTCACCACCTCATTGTGTCTTGTCCAGTCAATTGCACCACTATTTTTAACATCCCTTAATTTTGTTTAGAATTTGACTGCTGTCGTGAACACACTTCGAGATATATTCATTTCTTGGGTTGTCACACTAGCCAATTTGTCTTGGATTTTTTGTCGCAACAAAATTGCGAGAAAAGTTCTCTTAACGACGAATGATGATCATCAGTTTGTTGAGTTACGTCGAGAACTGATGCATGCTAATGTGATTCATGCTACATTTAATACCAAGTGTCCCCTGGCCCTATTGTCAGCGGTCTCACCGTAACGTATATATACCCGCGTGCTGTTCATGTCTGGTTGCGACTTCCTATGAGTCTGGTTCTAACAGGATGTGTGACCTCCACTCTCTTCATCTAAACCCAGGGCCCACCTCGGGGATTGCTTGCAGGTTAATGCTCCACGGTGGGGCCAGCAGGTTCATACAGATATCTACCTTGGGGCTTAAAAAATGTGAGCAAATGCCCCACCCAAGAGACAGAGCAATAATTACGGGAATGCTTAGAACTGACTGAGCTATAGAGTGTTTTCACATGACGTCACGTCAGCCATATTGGTGTCCCAAAACAATGAAAGGGCGGCCATGTTGGTGTCCCAAACCAATCCTGTGGGAGATGAACTCTTTTCTTATGCAAATGATTTCTTTTGTTCCAAAACATTTGCATAGATGCTGGCCACGTGAGTGAAAACACTCTATTAGTGTCGAGTATTCAACTGTCGTGTTAATTGTCTTCACCCTGAAATACTTGTTTTCCTTTCTTACGATTTTCCATGTTGAATTATTAAGCAACCCTTAATTTCTTGGTAGACAAACGGCTACCAGGGGGACTATGGAACGATGTCTCACTGGAATCGCTGTAAGTGGCCCCAGACACACATAACGGACAAGTAAACAGGCAGGAGAATTCAGGCACGATTTTTTATTGACAACTCGTTCGTATTTTTAAATTGAAGTAGGAAGCGTTCCTTTCCCTACAAATCCTTTTCAAAATCCCGACTTTTCCTGGGGGAGGGGAACGTCTGTACGCAGGCTACGCAGACTTCCGAGGTTCTCAAGAAAACGATTTTAATATGACCCATGCGGACATAAAATATACGAGATTTTGGGGAATGATTGGTTCCAGTTTTTTTTACCCTAAATCTTTTCTGTCGGAAAATGAATCAGTTAAACCTGTAACAGCTCAAAGGTTTCTGTTGGTCGTGACGAAATGATCCGTAAGCTGTGAGGTGGCGTCAGATCGAAGTTTTCGATCCACAGGCGAGATAGAGATAGATAGTTTATTCTGATTAAAATCGCAGCCAAAAGCTGAATTGGATTAATCGTTACAATAAGAAAATCTAATAAAAATATAAGAAAAATGTACACATATGTAGCTAAAAATTTAATTACAGTTGCTATATATAAATGTGTCCCTAAGTCTCTTCGTCTTAGCCAGAGGGACATTAAGATTCCTCTTTCGTCTTAAATTGGATTCACAATTGTTACGAGGTGGCAAGAGCTCATGCAGTTTATGGTGTGAGTTACTAGTGATGGAATCAAAAAGCTTAGTTGTGATAGACTGCCTGCGTCGAGAGAGCGTCTCTAAGTTGGCTAGATGTAATGCGTCGCTATATGGTACAAACGGAAAAATAATTCGCATGGCGCGCTTCTGTAGCTGTTCTAGCTCTGCGGATAAATAGGCGTGAGACTTTGTTGCGTGAATCGCGAGATCTTGTAACCTGCACAAACTATTAAGAACGCGTTATTGGAGGCTCTCAGACGGGTTCCAAGGCCCAAGCGCAAAACACGCGAGACGAGGTAAAATGGAATAAGTTTTTCTCTTTTCTCTTTAGGTTTACCATGTTTTATCATCTGTGCATTCACTGTCCTGTCCTGATCTCCACATAACTGGAAAACTGTCACTCGTGTAGTAAGCATCTCCAGGTTTTAACCCTAAAGGAAAGCTGGGCGCGGTCTCCCAAGGCCTATTGGCGAATGTTGCATCTTCTCCTAGCCAGCGAGTGGCAATCACTTGTCGTCCAGAAATGTCACTAGTTTGTTTGGCACCATGAACAGTGAGCATATGAAAAGCTATGCAATCACCGGGCTAAGAATAAAGAAAATAAAATTTAAGATAACACACAAGCCAGCCTGCAAGTTGACGTTGTCTCACTTGAGAGTTAAAGACGTCCCCTCATAATTTGGTTACTGCCTTCTTCATTCAAAGCTTCAAGCTGACCTGTAAAGCCAGCTCATACCAGGGGTTTATTCCGGGGCGTACCCCCTGTAATGGCCTATACGAGAAGGCTCCGCACAGAAGGGGCACCTTTGTCATACTTCAGGTATATGAAAGGGTAGGGGTTTCACTAGCTAAACTATATGAAAGGGTTGAGAAATCTGTCATCGGAGTTTGTAAAAGGACCTTAAAGGGCTAACAGGCACTTTAATGGTAGTGAAAAAGTCAACAAAAGATTCTGGTTTAGTAATTTATTCATAATTGAAAAACGGTGCATTTACAGCAGTTAAAAGAAACGCAGCGTTCTAAACAAAGGATGTGAAAGGGGTACCATTGGCAATAAAAGGTATATGAGAGGGATACCTTCCTGCTCTGAAATGGTATGTAAAAGGGAAGGGGTTGGACCTCTAGGCAGAGCCTCCCTTCTCCCTCCTCCCTCCCTGCCCCTGGTGTAACTTGTGCAACCTGCCATGACCTTGCTTAAGACCCTGACTGATGGTGTTGGTTTAGAGAAGAGGGACTCAGGACTCACTCCATGTGAGCTTCAATTCTTTGGCAAATCTGAAATATTATGCCGGCCAATTCAAGGTATTAACCCTGACTCATAGCAGGGATGAAATTTAGGGTGCATTTGGTCAATCTTATAATTCTGGAACAGGAATTTGCTCTATTCTGCTGTGTTTTCCAGACAGTAGTTCAGCCATTTCTTTGCAAAACACATGAAATCTTTGGCTGTTTTATCCCACTGAGCTACTGTTCCTTCTACTGCCCCTTATCTTTTGATTGTAAGTACAATATTAGTGTCTTGCTGATATCGGAAAACATCCTCTAAATCTGGTCAATGCTAAGCTGGGTATGAGTCAGGCTAAGCAGCTGCTTAATTTAAGGACTAATATTTTTTTCTTGTTCTCCGAAAGTCAATCAGTTAAAAATTCACTGGTCAGTAACCTATTGTACCTCCAGATCCCACGAGAACAGTTCATACTTGTCTGGTTCTCCATCTATGTCAGGGATAGCTTCAAATGCTTCTTGTTTGCTGTTAGTGTTGGAGTCATCAATTAGGTTGTAATTTTTTGAGGAAGCAAATTTCCTGGGAATGAACCACTTTCCCCATTTATGAGATCCACCAACATATTTCAAACAGGAGTCTTTAGATACAGGAGTCACTGGTAGCCATAATGAACAGTTCTGTGGATATATTTGATATATGATGGGCATTTTATTTAAATTTTCAGGATCCAGGATTTTCTGGATTTTTTACCTCAATTATGATCCATACTAAGTCCAAATAATGCAGTGTACTGTAGGCCAGATAGGTGTCTTTCAGGAGCCAGTAACACATAAATCTTAACGTCGGACATAACAACGGTTACCAAAATCTGACATCTGCCCAATCAAACTCTTCATTTTTTAAAAATGCTTTATGTATATAAGTACTTATGACTAACATTTAGTCTTATGCAACTGTCCCAATGATAAGGGTTCTTCTGGTTGCTTGCAACAAGTACATTTCACACTTAGCATAACAACTAGTCTTGTGTGATCTGATGGGTGGCACCTAGGCAAGAATCTCTCTAACCTATACCATGCACCTTATCCACCACTTATTAAATCTTTCATTTGTCCATGCAGCACTTATTCAGAACTTCAGTCATCATGTGTGAATGATACATGAAGTAGCATTATGGCTAGTTCTTTCTTTTTCTCTGTTTTGTCCAAAACTGATAAAAACAGCAGAGAAAGAATTGAATAAAAGTTTAGATCATATGAACTAACCTCTCATTTTATGCTATTAAGACAGGATTGCAACTGTCCCAGGCAAGCAGACTTTGATAATTATTTTAAATTATTTTCAAGACATGACTCCCTACCCCTAAGAGTTTCCATTGACTTGGTGGGGTTGTTGACAGGCAGGGGGGGGCGGGGAGGGGGAAGAACAGAATTATACTTTCTAATAATACCTTCCTTCCATTCACAGGATAGTATGGTTGATCTTGGTGCCATGGTGTCCCACGTGTTGTACCAGGATCTTTAATAAACACATGTTCATGAAAAAACACTGCAAACTTCAAATTAAAAAAAAGATTTAGAACAGGAAATGTAAATATACCTGTAGAATCAGTTAGACTGCATTTAATGCTGATTCACCCTCAAACTTAACTGCAAACTCTCCACATTTGATAGCTTAAAACTGGTGGATATTTTTTGTGTTTGAGCCTGTATAGCCTGTATGGCAAGTGTTTCTGTGCACTTTCTGAGAAAAGAACGAGGAACAAAGGTCAAAGACCATGTGAAAAATGGGGCAAGTAAGTAAACGAGCAGGGTGGGGAAGAAAGGAAGGAAGGAAACTTTCTTCCTTTCCCTTTCCATGCCCCGTTTTCATTTTTTAGCTCTTGTTCCATTATTTGCGCAGCCAAAACTGAAAATCCCGTTCCTTTGTCTCTCTTTGCTGCGAAACCAAACAGAAACTCTTGCTATACAGGCTAGCGCCCATACATGTACAGTGTATGACATTTGCCAGCAAACTTCAACCAATACATTTAGTTTAACTGCAAACAGCTTTTCTTTATTTAATGCTAAAAATACACTGTAAAGGGGCTTCTAGTTGTTTTTTGTTTGTAGTTTGAGGGATGAGATGCAAGTTATCCACTGAGAACCAAACATGTTATTTGCTATTAAAAACTGCAACATTGGTAACTCTGGATTTCCATTCTACAGTATTTAATTGTGTATAGAGTGTTTTCAGTCACGTGGCCAGCATCTATGCAAATTTATTGGAACAAAAGAAATCGTTTGCATAAGAAAAGAGTTCATCTCCCACAGGATTGGTTTGGGACACCAACATGGCTGCCGTTTTATTGTTTTGAGACACCAATATGGCTGACGTGACGTCATGTGAAAACACTCTATTAAATCATTTAAATTGAGCTACTCTTTCTGCAAGTGATGGCATTGTCACAGCGACTACTCTGAGAGGTGGTGGTATGGCAACTGGAAGAATGGGCCATTTTACAGTTATGGATTGAAGTGCAGGGTGGATGGTGACCTTGTTTTGATACAAACCTTCCTGTTTTATTATGTAAATCAAGTCATTCTTATGCTAACTAGTATTTTTCAAGGACAATTTTCATTACAAAGGAAAGGAGGTTTGTATCAAAACAAGGTCACTGTCAGCCTCACATTCACTCGAAGGCTAGGGTACTAAGTCCACAGCTGTAAAATGGTGTATTGAAGAAAATGTAATACATTATAAACTGCAATGAACATGCAAAACCTTAAAATGGTATGTCATAATCTGAATTGAAGTTTTAATACATGCTTACTGAAAGATTGGAGGAGACTAGGTGACAGGGAGGGAGACACACACAACCTACCTCTGGGAAGCCTGTGTGCAGCCCAGCCCCCTATTTTAAAACCTACCTTCCTTAGTATAGGGGGGTGGGGGATAAAATATGGAATGCCCCGTGTGCAAACAGTATCCCAGGTAGAAGAAACAGTGGCCAGGTAGCTTGGCAGCATACCATAAAATCAGTTATATTAGAGGTCAAATGGAAATGCATGTCTTCGATTGGAATTGGGCAAAGTTTATTAACCCAACCGCCCTTTTTTTTGGAGTACCAAAACTTTTCGTAAATGTGATTGAGCAGCAAGGCCTCAGGCGAACCTTTTTGCGACAAAACAAACCTCAGACTTCATCAGTTTGCCGGCGATTTCTGCAGCTGGCGATAAACGCACAAACTCCTCAAACTCTGGGATCCGACGCCAGTTAAAATAATCATTGAAGTAGAAGGTCTGCGAATCTTCGCTTTTGATCCATTCTCCGCGGTCGTTGCTGGGGTTTGCATGGTTTGTGGCAATACCTTTCTTCAGCTTTTCGACCCATTCTCTGAACGCACCCCTGAGACATACGACCCCTTGTGTTTGGAAAGTCTCTATATCGTGTGCTGTGACAAGATGTCGTGAATCTAAAGACTTGAACAGTCTAGTTTTCGCAGAACTGCAAACACGAAGTATGCGCCACATGATTGAGATTCCTCACGTAAATCATCAGCTATTTTACTTGGCTCGCAGTGAAACCATCGTTTTGTTGAATTGATGATCCGGCGCGAATGAACGTCGCTGAAACCACAGGCAGTCCAATCTCAAATAAAATTCCTGACTCGTCCCCAGTCGTCTGTCTTCCCTTTTCCTCCTTCCCATCACCCCTCGCGCTTCTCTCGTTTCTCAAGAGAGACGACTGGGGACGAGTCAGATAAAATTCACAATTGAAAATTCTTGTAATTACCATAATAAAAACTTTACAATATTAAAAGAGATATCCTTAATAAAATACAAGGTCTACTAAAAAACTATAACCAACTAATAAAAAATACTGTCTACTAAAACTACTCTAAAAATCGTACTAAAACTAATAAAAAAATTTCCGCATTCCTTGCATAACAAGGCACTGAGCATCTAAAAAAGGCAGCTTTATTGTGAAAAGGGTTCTATTGCGTAATTCTCAAATGGAACATAAAAGATTTGTCTGGGAATTCAGGTCATAAATTCAAGAGGATAAATAAGTGCAGTAATTTTCAACAAAAAAACGCTTAACCTGAATAACTTGGTTTGCTCTTGCTTGCTGTGTGGTTATTTTCCGGGCGCTGTTATTTTAAGCGATTTCCTTTATTCCCGAGTTTCCACTACTAAAGAAAGGATGTTCACGGCCATTTAAGGATCACACAATATGAGACCACACGTTTTAACGATTAAACTCGCAATTATCTGTTCCGTGTTGTCCTTCAGAAGCATAATTAAAAAATATAAAACTGCTCTAGTGAGGCCTTAAACTGCTGTTTAAAAAAAGCAAAATCCAAATTATAAAATTCAAGCTCTCGCCGATCAACTGCATCATCAGGGATGAGTAAATATTCTCCGCGCGCTATATATATACAAAGAAAGTGTAGAGTGAAATGTGTAAAAGATGTGACGTATGTATGAAAGCTATAGAAATAAACTGTGAATGGAATACAACGCTATAATGATGGAATGTCTCTAGACAAAGGACCTTTAAAAGCGCTTAAGAATGGTCTCGGAAATACTAAAATAGAGGGTCAGCGAAAATAAATGTTTTTAGAAAAAAAAACATTCCGGTACTTGCCCACGAATCCTACACTCTCAGACGAGCCCTATCCCACACTTCCAAGGAGCGCAAATGCACTAGAGACAAATGCCCTATCTCTAACACCGGATTGTGTTTACGAAGAAATGCAGTGTACCAGCTCACGTGTAACAGCTGCGATCAGCTATACCTTGATAGCACGACATCCGCGACCGCGTAAAAGAACATCTCAATAATAAAAACTTCTCTGTGAAATAATATATCTATTCCTGCCAGAACAAAGACTATAAAGGCCTTGAGGTCAAGATTATTATAAGCGAAAACGACCCCGCTAATCTACGCCTTTATGAAGCATTTTACATTAGTTAGTGCAAGCCTACACTCAATTCCCGGGAGGAATGTACTGAATTCGTAGACCTTCTATTTTAGTATTTTAGAGACCATTTTTAAGCGCTTTTAGAGGTCCTTTGTCTATAGACATTCCATCAGCTTTGTATTCCATTCACAGTTTGTTTCTATAGCTTTCATACATACGTCACATCTTTTATACATTTCACCCTACACCTTCTTTGCATATATATAGCGCGCGCGGAATATTTTCTCATCCCTGGTGATGCCGTCTATTGGTTAAAGCTTGGATTTTGGGTTTTACTTTTTTTAAACAGCAGTCAGTAAGGCCTCACTAGAACAGTTTTGTATTCATTTAACTCTCATATTGAGCTTTGGCTGCCTGTGCATAACCAAATTCGGTTAGCAAGGCGTAGAGGAGTAAGGGTGGAAGGTTGAGGGTTAGGGTGAGGGTGCGGGTGAAGGCGGGGAGTGAGAGTAAGCGGGAAGAAGGAGTGGTTGAAAAGAACACGAGGAAGATAGGCTGGTGTTAATGTTTTAGCTAGCTTTCAGTTTTCTGAAATAACAGTTTACCTTGTATTTCCAACAACGAGAACGCGAAATACTTGAAGTACAAAAGAAAAGGTAATCGATCACCTACCCATCCGTCAATAGTCAACATGCTTTTCTAGCTGATCTACCGTCAACGGTGTGAGTAGGTCTGCATGTGCCGGTGTCATTTCCATAGTCCAGTTTTCTTTTCTTCTTTCTTTGACAGAGAGTTACTTAGGGGACGATCGACGAGTTTAGAAAATAAAATCTTTTCCATTGGGAGGGCAGCTTGTGGGGTTGAGGGAGGGGACTACTCAACAAACATTTTTCCGGGAAGGCTTCGTCCTGATATCTAACCCCTTACCCTTTTCGGTACCATTTTTTATAGAAAATGTACCCTTTAGTACACCTTCCATTGAAAAAGCTCCCCTTTTCACCTGTAAGTCCCTTTGGGAGTGAAATTAGGGAGAACATGATAGTAAAAGGATAAAATTAATTGCAAAAACCGTGCACGAAGATCCTGCTAGTTGTAAACGTTTGATCTCTAGAAAAGAGATCAAATCAGCCAAAATATAAAGAACAAGAACATTTTCTTTTTTTTTCAAATACATCCCTGTCCTTCTTTTTTGCTTATTGTCAAGAAAATATTTGACTGCAGTGTCAGTTGTGCGCCACGGCTCCACGTGCACAGCCGTAGCCTGCGTGCAGACAGCTTAGTAAGAGCATTAGTAAGAGCGGGGATGAGGTTGTCAAGACCACCCTCCCCTGGACAGTCAACTTGAGTACACACGAAAGCGAGACTCAAACAATGTAGCACCAGTCAACATGGCGGTCGCTGAGGACATCCTAAAAGATCCCTATTTTGCTGACCTAGATATCGACCTGAGTCAGTTTTCCGAGGAAGAGAAGACGGTTATTCTTGGTGTTATGCAAAAAGCTAAAGTTAGTGTGAAGAATAATGGAGATCTTTCTCTTGATTTCAAGTATTTTGCCTGTTAAACATTAGGTTGTAATGATTTTATCGTCTCTATCTGAGTCACAATTTGTTCTCTTGGTAAAACAGTTTGTTAACTTTATCTTGTCCTCTGTGGTTTGCGTTATTCATTGTAGGTGTTGGATCAAAAGGATGAAGACAGATTTAGGTAAGATATTTTTGTTTTATAATTATACCGTAATTATGGGGATTTATTTATTAAATGAGGTCTATAATAGCTAGGACTTCTTCTAGATCATGATCAGTTTCTCAAATTGATAATAATTATCAATTACAGAAACTGATCATGATAACGAAGAAGGTCTAGCTATTATAGACCCCATTTAATAATATGGTACCGTTTTCAAAGGAAACCGTCGGAGGGACAGCTTAGTAAGTGGACAAATCTCATGAAGGGCTGGCAATTTAGGTGGTTCACGTTAGATCCTCATTCAGGACTACTGGAATATTATGTGGTAAGAACAAGTTATCATATTTTTTACGCAAACAGTGAGCTTAATTAACTTCAATAGTCAGCGTTGAATGCATGATTAACACCTGATTTCTCTTTTACTAATTTAAATATTTACAAACAAAAGAGGTGTCCATTTTGTAACTTGAGTAGTTATACTTTGAGCTGCATTTGTGGGGTTTCCTTGGTTATTTTTTAACAAAAGTTGGCATTACAGTTAGTGATGAGCATTAAAATCTTAGAGAATAATCTGGGATTTGGAATAAAAATTTGAAATATTATAGGGTGACAAAAATTAGAAATTCACCTTACTAGCCTGCTAATCTGACTAACCTGTTCCTGGCCCCCTGGGGAAAGTGGATCGAAAAATATTTGCTTGCTCCCTTTTTCGCTCTTTGCCCTCTTTTTTTCCTCCTCTTCACTGACCAAGAGCCTGGCAAAGGCTAGATCTAAGGTTCTTAATCTAACCTAGAGCCAAACTATTTTAAAACTGGTTTTTCTCAGAAAGGTAACAAACTTGGCAGCCCACTGGGCAATCACATGAAGGGTTTTGATAGCTTTCAAGTAAGTTCAGAGTAAGCTAAAGAAGGTATTATGTTTAGGCTGCCTTCAATAAGCTAGCCTGATGACAGCACTGGTTTTCCTGATGAATGACATCTGAGATAGGAGTGCAAAAATTCTGACTGATGACGTTTCACTACCCAGATCTGGGTAGTGCTTCTGATTGGTTGAAGCAAATTTTAAGCCAATCCAGTCTGTTACGGACTGTTAGCCATAAACCAACACAAGTACGCTTCAAATGTAACATTAGTCATTCTATAAGCCATAAAGATGTCCATGATTTCACATCCAGATCGTTATTTGAGGCTTGTTGATGGCATTAGCCTGTTTGGTAGACGTAATCTAACCGCATTAGTAACATCTGTGATGTTGTGCCGATATCCATGTTCTGGGCCCCTGAGAGAATTAATGAATTAAAGGAAATGCATTTCAATTTTCCCTTTAACCCGACTGGCAAATCAACAGTGGCAATTTTAACAGACCAATCATGGTGTATACTCAAATCTCAGTACTCAGGTGGGGGCCCAGAATAAGGATTTTGGTGCTGTTTCACAGACGGACTTAACCAGCCACAATATTTTAGTTTGGCCTGTGGTGCAGGCTAATGACAGCATGGACAATAGGACTTTTAAAACAGGCAATGACGTTGCAGATTTTTAAAAGTTATCCTGAGGTAAAAGAAACACAAAGAAACAAACAACTCTGAACATAATTTAAATTAATGTTTGTCTTTTGAAACTAGAAAGACCAACTTACCATAGAGAAATATTTAAACTCTGTGCAAATAAATAATCAGGCCATGAAAATGTTGGCAATCAGTCATAGATTGCCTTTTTTTAAAGAGAGTTGCTTTTCTCACATGATTCATGGTTGACCATATCACATGATAAATAGTGTTACAAAAGGTGGTAGTACATGTATTTCATATTTACAGCTGAGTGTTCCTAGTTAAAATTAATCTTAATAGCCATTGAGTCTAAAATCTTACAAAGTACTGTACTGTACATGATGGGAAAAATCTTGACCAGTTATTTCTGTGGCTGCAGGATGAAATGTAAATGTTCATTATACTACTCACACACACAGGTTGGTCAAATATTTGTAGCTCTTGACCATTGTCTGTGGGAAA